TGCGTTGTCGCGGACATGCGCAGCAAATGCTGCAGCGGCTTCTGGGCCGTTTAAAGCCTCGGGATCGCACCTGATCATAGAATAATACTGAGGAGCGCGAGAAGTAGGAGCAGAGAGAGGACATTGAAGTACTGCCCCGACTGCTTTGTGATCTACGATGTCGATGGAAAGGTCGAGTGCGTGCTGCACCGATGCGCTATGCACGTGTCTGTTGGTGGAGCATGCAATGTGGTCCAGTCGTCTTCCTTTCTCTGCTCTTTGGTCGCTGGGTGCATGCCAAGTAACACCTGAGCCTGGTGCTGTAAAGACAATAGAGGGGAGCCAGAGATGCCGATCACGTAACATGGCATGGAAAACTTCCCCAGGATGATTTTGTGGTTCGGCTCGAACCGCACCTATAGTTTCGGAAACGACGGACCCGACCCTGGCGTTGGCGTCGATGAGGTAAAGCTCTGGAATCGAACCGCCCAGTAACGCCGAAAACTGGTTGGAAGCCTCCTCTCACCATTGCCGTATCTGCCCCTTGCCAGAAGCGCTGCGCGGCGCATGTCCTACCACGACGCTGAAACTGAAATTACCCTTCCTGATGGCAACGATGAGCAGGCGAGGAGTAGCGTAGAGAACGCGGCAATCACGAAGAGAGAGCCTCTCTGCTTCGCGAAACACAGCACGCTTGTGGACCCATAAAGAAATCCATATCTTTGAAACTTATCGGCGCCTGCATGCAGCACCACGCATTCCCCAACTTGCGAGTATCCATATCTGGGAAACCCGGTCTCGACAGCGCCCGCAAGGAAGATTTTGCGCTGCGAGAACATGTGGCCCAGATGGGCCATTCGGCCAGGCAAGAATAAACCACTGTTTTTTTGTTCTGGTGGGGGGGGGGGGGGGCATCGGCCCGCCCTGGGATTCAAGGTCAACGCGTTGGAGCCCCTCGAAGGTCCCGACGCTCGGCATGGAGCAATCCCATGAAGCCGAAGAACTGGACCCAGGGCATGAAGTAGCTGAACTCCAAGACTGGGAGGACATTGGCTGCGATCCGATAAATCAGAAAGAGCGCGAAGCCATAACCATTCGAGTTCCGCCTGCGTCGGAAATGGCGATCGCCATTCCGTGGGCGGATGATCGCAAATGCGCAATGAGAGCAAAGCAATAGTGCAGAGTGCGTCGGCTAGCTCATTCCAGGGCTGAACTGCGTGTCCCGGCACCTGCCGGCGGAAAAAAAACACTGCGTATCAAACGAAGAATACGTGATTGGGCATCCAGAAGGGCTCTCTCCTGAGGATGACTCCCCCGGGCACTTCCACCTTTGGTGATGGCCAAGACTTCCACATTGTCTCCGAATAAGGATGCCCCCAGCCTGCCCAAGACAGCAGCACCCAATTGAGTAATCCAAGCCATGGCCCATTGGGCCGCGTAGAGCTCCCCGGGAAACGAGAAATGCTATGACGCGTGGCCCCCCGGGTCGGACACGTCGGCCGCGAAGCCCGCAAGAGCCGTAGATCCCAAGACACCCATAACCAATGCAACGAATGCCCAGCTAGATAATCTGTTACCGTAGCGTCGTTCGCGCTCTGTAGGTAGGTTTGTCGGCCACCAGAGCCGTCGACGTAAATTTGCAGGCCCCCCCAGGAAGACAGGTCCTGAAGCGAAGTTAAAGTACGCAAAGCCTGGTGGAGGAATGACGAAACGATCCTATGCTGTGTAATCCCTGGATAACTCCAAGTCCCAGGAGGTAAACATCTTGCGAAGAAAGGAAGAACAGTCTGGCAACGGACTGAACTTGCAACCTTTGATGGGTTCCACCATGTGGTTAATAGGTGCACCTGGCGCTGAAGCCAGTTGGGACTGGGAAAGGCTGTTATCCCTGACGTCCTGAAAGGTATCGTCATCGCACCAGCTGGCTAATGACCCCCCACTGCAGTGACCAGTAACTTCCTCTGGTACAGCTGGCAAGTCCTCTGCGATGGCCTGGGACTTGTGAGGTGGTTCGTCGTCGTGAAGATCTGCTGCTGCACGGGCTGTCCTTTTGCTGAATCGGCTGAAAGACGTTGGAGATCTTCTGTTGTCCTGGCATGTTTCCCGCTGCGTGCTGCCATGCTGGGGACTAGGTTCGCCCTGGCGATGCGCCCGTAGTTGATCGGAACGCTGCCAATTCGGCAGGGCTGAGATCTGGTAGACTGTCTCCCGCTGAACCGTTGGAACCTGCGCGGGCCGCTGTAGCCTTTTGAAGGAGTGCCTCCTGTGAAGTACGTGGAGACGGTGTCGGTGCTGCGGCTGGCGGCGTGCTGGCCGTCGTCAACGCGGTCAATGACTGCTGAATAGACACCAATGCTTGGCTGAAAAGATCCATGTGAAAGGTAAGCTGAGCTTGGCCGGTCTGTAATTCGGCGATGATCCTGGGCGCCGCAACGGGCTGGCCAGGGATTGGAGATGAGGGCGTAGCTGTGGGCGAACGCGCGTTCTAAGTCGATGTGGCAACGCCTGGGTCGACCTCCACGCTGTCGGCAGCAAAGTGAACACCTTCGGGCAGGCTTGGAGCTGTCAATGCTCGGGCCGCTGCCGCTGCTGCTGCTGCTGCTGATGCTGCCGCCTCGGCTATCTGCTCCTCCTGTAACTGTAGGGCCTTGAAGTGACTGAGAATATGTTGCGCACGCTCGGCGTCTGCTTGAAGAGCCTCTCGGGCGGCAGTCGCTTTTGTCATGGCCAGCTTCGTTTTTTCTTCCGCCATTCGCGCATCCGCCAATCTCTTCTAGGTACTTCTCTTGGTTGCCCACTCGATCCCGTCCTGTGAAAGCATGGATGCGCATGTACATGTACACTGCATACTCTACCTCCAAGGGCTGGAGCATCTCCGAGGTGGCGGCCAAGGTTTTCTTGCTGATGAGCTGGGACTCCAACGCCGAGAGGGTAGCTTTGATTTGGCCACAATGCTGGGCTAGCTCCTTGGCGCCCGTCGGCGGGTCCACCCAGCTGGGGTGCGCCTTGGCCACCTCTGGGGTCGCGGGCAAGATGGACAGAGAGACTGGCTGAGAGGCTGCTGGCGGTGTTGAGGGTGCCCGTCCGCTGCCCGCACTGGGGGGGGGTCGTGTCTCCCTGAGCCTGTCCTGCTCTCGACGCTGAAGATGACCTCTGTCTGCGTGGTAAGGAACGGCCTCGTTGGCGACCTCGCGGGAGCGGACAGCAGCGAGTACACCATCGCGACGATGACCAGTTGGACGCACCACACTGGCCACATGACCAATTGCCTCCTCTGGGCGTGGTCCATGGCGGAACGCTGGCTGCCTGCTGTATCTGCTGGCATTGCACTGTGATGATCTGCGAGCAAATCCCGAGCTGAGCTGACCCTGAGCAAGGTGCGTGCTTCGCTGCGGGCCGCCCTGGCACGGCGGTGCCAAGGTGGCTCTGGTGGACGTTGTGACCGAATGCTGGCCGCGCGGCGCCGCCAGGCGCCCTGCGGCTGGAGCTGCAAACGCTCGCTGGAGCGTCGCGGCAAGAGATGAAGCACGGCTAGCCCACTGCCGATGGCGGCGGCGGGCCTGCGCGTTGCCGATGTCCCGAGGGGCGCGCAGCTACTGGGTAGCTCAACCCGTGGCCCCTGAGCCGGGACGGCGGCTGTCTGACGGAGGAGGGAGGAGGGAGGAGGAGGGAGGAGAGAGGAGGAGGAGGAGGAGGAGGAGGAGGAGGAGGAGGAGGAGGAGGACCATTGTAAACCAAAGAGTCATCAACCATGTTGGAATTAACCCTCCTCCAAGTTCCACCTTCATAAGCCTCATACAACGGTTCATTTCCACTGAAAGAACTGCCTCCTTGGAAGACACCCTCGAAGACCCTGAAGCATGCCAACACATTGTTCTCGGGATTTCAACGCCACGGATCAACCTGACTGCTGCGTCTTGACGATCCGGAACCGTGCCAGAACGCCATGTTTGATACTTCAACACCGCGAATCAACATAACTGTTGCTCTCGTATAATCTTGAATCCGTCCACAACACCATTTCTGATACGTTGATCATGGGAATCCGTGAACGAATATGAACTTGTGTGAACGAATGTATGAACGAACGTGCGCGGCGCAAAAGCGAGAGCCACATTTGGAAAACCACCCGCCCTCAATCCGTGAAACTCTTGCAAATGTTGAAAACGAATGTGCGCGGCGCCATGGCGCGAACCACATATTGAAAACTACCCGCCCTCCATCCCTGAAACTCTTGCCAATGCGCAAAACGAATGTGCGCAGCGCTAAGGCGAGAGCCACATTTTGAGAACCACCCGCCCTCCATCTGCGAAACCGCTCACTCTCTAAGCTTCAGAATCATGAATGGTGAGGAAGTCTCGAGCGAAAAGCCCGGCCCGCCCTAAAAACTGGCCTCGGGATGCGGCAGGGAGAGGTTATTTAGGAGAAGGAATGGAGGAGGAAGAGGAGGGGGAGGGGGGAAGAGGGAGGAGAGGGAGGGAGAGAGGGAGGAGGGAGGAGGGAGGGAGAAGGGAGGAGGAGTGAGGAGGAGGGAGGAGGGAGAAGGGAGGCCGAGGGGAAAGGAGGGAGGAGGGAGGAGGGAGGAGGGACGAGGAGAGTGAGTTTATCATTTTTCACCGCAACGCACACGCATCTTCTTTCGCAGTCCGTGTCTGAGGCAATAACAGCTGGGCGGCTGGGGCACACTAGGAGAAGGCGGAGGAGGAGGAGGAGGAGGATAGGGAACCCACCAAAGACGCACGCGCCCAACCACGTCCACGAATAGGGCCCCCCAGTCCACGAGATCAGACTCGAAATGCCACCGGTCGCGCAATGCTTATGTTCGAAACCAGAGGATTCACGTGAGTGTACGTCCCTATTTCGCTCCTGAGAGGAGGAGGAGGACGAGGAGGAGGAAGAGAAGGAGGAGGAGGAAGAGGGGGAAGAGCACCTCTTCTTCCTCCCTCCTCCTTCCCAGCCTGCCGCCTCCGCCGCGGCCGAGGCGGCGGCCCACAAGGGAGGGGGCGGCTGCGGAGGCCCGCCTTACAGGAGCCAGCCTCCCACCAATGGCACCTGCGGGCCCCCTCCGCAGCGCGCCTGGCGCCAGCCCCTCTCCCCGTCGCCCTCGTCGTCTTCATCACCGTAGGTCATAGCATCGGTATGGTTATTGTAAGTAGTACTGTTACTTGTGTTACGATTAGAACTGATTAACACGATTATGAGTAGTAGTATTAGTATGATGGCTGTTCGTATTGGCATCATTACGATTATCATATTGAGTATTAGTGATTATTATTCGTATTACCATTAGTATTACTCTTACTAGTAGTATTGCGACTACTACTACTACTACTACTACTGCTACTACTACTACTACTACTACTACTGCTGCTGCTGCTGCTGCTACTACTACTACTACTACTACTACTACTACTACTAGTACTACTACTACTACTACTACTACTACTACTACTACTACTACTACGACTACGACTACGACTACGACTACTACGACTACGACTACTACTACTACTACTACGACTACTACGACTACGACTACGACTACGACTACGACTACGACTACGACTACGACTACGACTACGACTACGACTACGACTACGACTACGACTACGACTACGACTACGACTACGACTACGACTACGACTACGACTACGACTACGACTACGACTACGACTACGACTACGACTACTACTACTACTACTACTACTACTACTACTACTACTACTACTACTACTACTACTACTACTACTACTACTACTACTACTACTACTACTACTACTACTACTACTACTACGACTACTACGACTACTACTACTACTACTACTACTACTACTACTACTACTACTACTACTACTACTACTACTACTACTACTACTACTACTACTACTACTACTACTACTACTACTACTACTACTACTACTACTACTACTACTACTACTACTACTACTACTACTACTACTACTACTACTACTACTACTACTACTACTACTACTACTACTACTACTACTACTACTACTACTACTACTACTACTACTACTACTACTACTACTACTACTACTACTACTACTACTACTACTACTACTACTACGTACTACTACTACGACTACTACTACTACTACTACTACTACTACTACTACTACTACTATACTACTACTACTACTAGTACTACTACTACTACTACTACTACTACTACTACTACTACTACTACTACTACTACTACTACTACTACTACTACTACTATTACCACTACTATTACTATTGAAACTACTACTACTACTACTACTACTACTGCTGCTGCTGCTGCTGCTGCTGCTACTACTACCACTACTACTACTATTCCTCTTCTCCATCATCATCGCCATCATCATCATTATCATCATCATCATCCTCGTCATCATCATCACCATGACTATCATCACCAGCAAAAGAGAAACTAGATCAACAATGATACCGGAGAAAGCCCCAATCAGAATCGCTTTAGGGCTGTACGGCTATAGGGCTGTAGGGCTGTAGGGCCGTAGGGCTATAGGATTCTAGGGCTATAGGGCTATTTGGGCTGTCAGGTTATTGAGCTATTGGACTATAGGGCTATAGAACCAGAGGGCTATAGGGCTGTAGGGCTATGGGGTTATAGGGCTATAGGGGTATAGGGCTATAGGGCTGTAGGGCTATAAGGCTATAGGGATATAGGGCTACAGGACTGTAGGGCTATAGGGCTATAGAGCTATAGGGCTATAGGGCTATAGGGCTATAGGGTTATTGGGCTATAGGGCTATAGGGCTATAGGGCTACAGGGCTGTAGGGCTATACGGCGATAGAGCGCCTGGGCACCCGGGCACCAAAGCACCCCGGGGCACCTGCGGGCACCCGGGCGGCCACCGAAATCGGCGGCCCACCTCACCACCTAACCATATGAATCCGCTAGGACCCCAATAGAGGCAAGCTCTGATTGGGGAACAACATTCATCATAATAATCACCACCACCACCACCACCATCATCATCATCATCATCATCAGCATCATCATCATCATCATCATCATCATCAGAATTATCATCATCATCATCATCACCTGCATCATCATCAGCAGCATCATCATCACCACCATCATCATCATCATCGTCATCATCAGCAGCAGAGAACACGATTCGTCCGCCCCTCGCGCGCAACAAAGTGGAACTCGCTTCGATTGGAGATACGTGTGAACTGTTGAGCCGAGGCACGCCGAACTGATACTTAAGCCGGGGCTTTCGCATCGCAGGCGTGGCCACCCGATACAAAAAGCAACGCAACACAGCATACAAGCGCCAAAGCTCGTCGGACGAGACACACGCCGAGCTGCCGCCCGCCGTGCTGCACCGCGCCACGTCATCGACCCCAGATTGCACAGCAACCGCACCTGCGGCCGAGTTCTAGCAGGAACCTGTCGGCAAACAAAAGAAAGAGAGAGTCAGGACGAGGCGAAACGACCCCCCACCGCCCAGAGCAGGCCCCCCCTGGACACCCTTCAGGGGTGCGGCAGCAGCATCGCGAGCTGCTGGGGTGGGCTGCTGGTGCTGCTGATCCCACGCGTCGTGACGATGCCGATGCACCTGTGGGAGATGGCAGTAGCAATCGACGAAGTAGTAGCCATGTCCTGGCGCTGCTGCACGTGGTGCTCACGCTGCTGCCTCTGAAGGTGGCACTCCCAGTCGTGGTCCATGCGGGCGGCACTCTGGGGTATGCCAGCCCATCCTCGCCTGGCGGTGGCACTCGAGACGATGATGACGATGATGCGCTCGTGGTGGATGGTGCTCGTCCTGGGCGTTCTGATCCTTGTCATCTTGGTGGTCGTGGGCGTCGTGATCGCCTTGCTCATCATCGACATCGTGGCTGCCGTGGCTGGCGTGGGTGCCGAGGGAGCCGTGGGCGTCTTGGTCGTGGGTATCGAGGTTTTCGTGGGCGTCGCAGTTGTCGTGCTGTATGTCACTGTGGTGCTGCTCACTGCCAACGTTGAGCGTGATGAGCTGCCCCGCAAACGTCTGCGCGAAAATGAAGTACTAATATTAGTTGTAGTATTCGTATTCGTCGTAGTAGTAGCGTAGTATTAGTACGGTTAGCATGTGTTGTATTAGTATTAGTCGTATGCTTACTGCTGGTCTTGGTATTAACAGTGTACTACGATAACGATTATTAATGCAAGTAGTAGAGGCATTCGCACTAGCATTTGTTGTGCGATTAGTCGTATGATTACTGTTGTGATCATTAGTACGAATAAAGCAATTACTATCACGAGAACTACTAGTTGTATTCGTAGTACCAGCAGTAGAACTACGAGTATGACTAGGTTTAGTATTAGTATGACTAGTAGTGCTAGTATACGTATACGTATCATTGGTAGTGCTGTATGTATCCTTACTGCAGGTATGTTCATAATTATGATGAGGAGTAGTAGTAGTAGTGGTAATAACAATACTAATGTCATGATCGTTCCCCCTCCTCCTCCTTCTCCTCCTCGTTCTCCTCCTCCTCCTCTTCCTCCTCCTCCTCCTCATCCTCCTATGTCTCCATGTCCTCCTCCTCCTCACTCCCCCTCCTCCTCCTCCTCCTCCTCCTCCTCCTCCTCCTCCTACGTCTCCTCCTCCTCCTCCTTACTTCCTCCTCCTTGCTTCCGATGCCTACTGCACCATCATCCTAAGCCTCCTCCCGCCTCGCCCCGAGGGTCCAGCCGCAACGCTGCAAGAGTGGTCCAGCGCGCCACGCGCCGGAGCACGGCTCGCGACAAGAGGGCCCAGCCCGGGCCGCCACTGGGCCGTCCCCGCGCAACGCGCCCTGTCCCCAGGGGGCACAGCTCCGTCTTGTAGAAGTAGTCCGTGGCCCGGAGCTCCTGGAGAGCGGGGAAGGGGAAGGCGAGGAGGAAGATGGGAGAGCAGAGGAGGAGACGGTAGAGGAGAAGATGAGGAAGGATGAGGAGAGGAGGAGAGGAGAGCGCCATCGCTGCGCTGGGGAGGGGGGAGGAGAGGAGGAGACGGGAGAGAGGGCAGAAGCAGAGGACGGCCCAGAGGAGGGCCGAGGCGGGCAGGGGGGGAGGGGGAAGCGGAGGAGGAGGCGGAGGAGGATGAAGCAGGAGCGAGGGGGGGGAGGAGATGGGCAAGACAAGGGAGGAGGGGAGAGGAGGGGAGAGGAGGAGAAGGAGGAGGAGGAGGACGCGGAGGAGGAGGAGGATGAAAGGGAGGAGGAGGAGGAGGAGGAGGAGGAGGAGCAGGAGGAGGGCGGAGTAGGAGGGCGGAGGGATGCGAAGGGCGTATGGAGGAGAGGAGGGGGAGGGTAAGATAAGATAGAAACGACTGTGGGCCTGCAACTCTCGTCATGTCTCAGATGGAGAAGGAGGGGGAAGAGGGGAAGGAGGGTGGAGATATGGGATGCAGCAGCAGCAGCTGGGATAGAGGCTCAACATGCAGGTATGCGAGGCAGTGCGACTGGATAGCCCGAGGATCGGTTCATCATCCTTCAAACGAGCGATGATACATCAGGGCTGCATTTGCAACAATGCTAGTCCCGCGAAAAATATGCGCAACATGGTGGGCGTCGGTCTGCGTCGTGCCTTGCTGATGCAAGATCATATCACCCTCAGAGCGGTCGGCGAAGAGCCGACAACCGCTGTACCCGCAGCCGTAGGCTCAAGAAAATGGGAGCAGGGAGGAAAAGAGCCGCCAGGCAAAAATGTCGTGGCTCTCGCTGGCACGGAAACATGAGAGATGAATGTCCCCCTCATCCTCCTCCTTCTTCCCTCCTCACCGCCATCACTACCATCACCGCCATCTCCACCATCGTCGTCATCATCATCCCTATCAACACCACCACCACCACAAGCATCATCATCATCATCAGCATCATCATCAGCATCATCATCATCAGCATCAACATCGGCATCATCATCATCACCACCACCACTATCACCATCACCACCATCACCGTAATCATCCGCATCATCATCATCATCAACATCAGCATCATCGTCGCCACCACCATTCTCACCATATCACATCATCCTCAGAATCATCCTCATCATCAGCATCGCAATTATCATCATCATCAGCATCATCACCACCACCACCGCCACCATCACGATCACCACCATCACCGTCATCGTCGTCACCATCATCATCAACAACATCATCATCATCGCCACCACAATCCTCATCATACCATCGTCACATCATCATCCTCAGAATCCTCCTCCTCCTCCTCCTCCTCATCATCATCATCATCGTCACCATTATTATCTGCATCATAAGCATCTTCACCAGCATCATCTTCGTCACCATCAAAGCATCATCAGCACCACCCTCGTAATCATTGTTCTGTTCAATTCCTCAGTACTAGCATCAGAAACGTCACCATAAGAAATATGAGCGACACCAGCCTCAACAACACCATCCTTATCCTCGTCCCCATCGAACCGCTCATTCACATCGCATTCCTCATCATCATCATCATCATCATCATCATCATCATCATCATCATCATCATCATCATCCGTCCCACTCTTACTCTCCTCCCCCACCGACTCAGAATCTTCCAACTTCCGCATCTACCACACCATCGCCAGCGTCGTCGTCGCCACTCTTCCTCCTCATCTTCCTCCTCCCCTTGCTCCTCCTCCTCCTCGTCATCCACCTCCTCCTCTAACCATAATCATCATCAGCAGCATCATCACCAGCAAAATCATCACCACCACAACCATCACCAACATCATCACCGCCACCATCACCGCCAGCATCACAACCATCACCACCATCGCCACCACCACCACAACCAAGACCATCACAACCACCACCACCACCATCACCATCATCATCATCATCAGCAGCATCATGATCAGCATCAGCATCAGCATCATCATCCGCATCATCACCACCATCATCATCACCATCATCAGCACCAGCGTCACAATCATCATTAGATTCATCGTCATGTGCATCAGCATCATCACCATCGTCAGGGTCATCATCATCAGCATCATCATCATCATCATCATTGCCGTCATCATCATTATCAGCGGCATCAGCATCATCGCAATCCTCATCATCATCATCATCCTCATCAGCATACTCATCCGCATCATCATTATCATCCTCATCTGCAGAATCGTTACCCTAATCGTCATCATCATGAGATGTTCCATTGTCGTCGTAGTCGTCGTGACCACAACGATCACCGATCATCATAGTAGCATCGTCATCAGCAGCATCATCATCAACATCATCATCACCATCGTGATCACGGTCATCACCATCGTCACCATCATCATCATCATCATCATCATCAGCATCAGCATCATCATCACCGGTCATCAGAATCATCAGCATTATCATCGTGATCTTCATTATCTTCGTCGTGGTCATCGTCATCATCGTCGTCATCGTCGTCGTCACCAGCATCATCACCATGAACATATTCAGCGTCGCCATCATCATCATCATCATGATCATCATCATCATCATCATCATCATCATCATCATCATCATCATCATCATCATCATCATCATCATCATCATCATCATCACCATCACCATCATCATCATCATCACCACCATCATCATCATCATCATCCTCATAATCATCCTCATCATCTTCATACGCAGCATCGTCTGCGTAATCGTCAGCGGCGCCGTGGTCACCCACAGAGTAAGCATCAGCAGCGTCATCATCATCATCACCATCACCATCACCATCATCATCATCACCAACATCATCATCATCATCATCACCACCATCATCATCATCATCACCGTCATGTTCATCACGATCATCGTCTTCAACATTGTTATCGTCGTGGTCATTGTCGGCTCCGTCGTCACTACCGTCATCATCATCACCGACACCATAATCATCATCATCATCGTCATCATCATCGCCATCAGCAGCATCGTCATCAACATCATGATTAAAATTATCAGTATCATCAGCATGATCATGATCATCATCATAATCACAATCAGAAACAGCATCATCCGCATTTCCCTCATATGCATATTTCTCATCGCGCTCATCCTGGTAATGGTCGTCGCCACAACCATCATCCTCCTCAGCTGCATCATCATCAGCACCATCATCATTGTCATCATCATCACCCTGATCTTCGCCATCGTTAAATTAACCATCGTCGCCGTCATCGTCATCGTCGTCACCGTCGTCGTCATCACCATCAGCACCGTCATCAGCATCATCAGTTTAAGCATCATCATCATCATCATCACCATCACCATCACCATCACCAACATCATCATCATCATCATCATCATCATCATCATCATCATCGTTATCGTCACAGTCATGATCATCATCAGCTTCATCGTCATCACCACTTCATCATCGTCAAGGGCGTCGTTGCCGTCGATGTCGTCGTCACCACCACCACCATAGTCACCATCAGCCGCATCATCGGCATCATCATGACCTTCATCAGTTCCATATTCATCACCTTCGGCATCATCGTCGTTGTCACAACCACCACAAGCATCATCATCACCATCATCAGCAGCATCAGCATCATCATGAACATCATCAACTGCTTCATTAGCATCATCACCATCAGCACCATCATCCACATCGTCATCATCGTCATCATCATCATCCTCATGATCATCATCAGCATCATCATCATCAGCGTCGTCATGATCATGATCATCATCAGCACCATGATCGTCATCAATAGCAGCATGGTCATCATCATTGTCGTTGTCGTCATCGCTGTCGTCGCCGTCGTCACCACCAGAATCATCATTGACAAAATCATCGCAAACTCAACGGGTCAAGCTTCATCATCGTCTTCATCATCGTCATCGTCCTCGTTGTCGCCACCACCATTCTCATCATGTTCATCGTCGATCACACTATAGCATGGTCATCATCATAATCATCAGCATCGTCGTCGTCAGAGTCGTCTTCGAAATCATCATCGTCTCCATCACCATCGTCATCATCATCATCATCATCATCATCATCATCATCATCATCATCATCATCATATTCAACAACATCTCCATCGTTTTCATCTTTAGCATCTCCATCATCAGTGTCATCGTCGTCGTCAACACCTGCATCACAGTCATCAGAATCATCATCATCAGCATCCTCATCAGCAGCAGCATCATCATCATCGGGACTTTCATCATATGCATATCCATGATCGTCTTCATCATCAACATCGGCGTCGTCGGCACCATCCTGATCATAATCATCAGCATCACCATCATCGTCATCAGTATCAAAATCGTCGTCATTGCATCAGCATCGGCATCAGATCAGCATCACCATCATGATCTGCACAACATGATCTTCATCGTCATCATTGTCATCATTATCGTCTTTATCATCATCAGCAGCATCATCATCGCCATCATCATAATCATCATCATCATCATCATCATTATCATCATCATGGTCATCATCGCCATCATCATCATCATCATCATCGTCGTCGTCATTGTCATCAGCATCAGCATCAGATCAGCACCGTCATCACCATCATCAGCATCATCATGGTCATAAGATTCGCCAGCATCCTCATCATCACCATCATCGTCATATCTATAGATAGACAGTCAATGTATACTCATCTTGACCATCGTCTTCATCATCGTCATCCTCATCATCATTATCATCATCGTCAACAGCATCGTCATTATCGTTAGCAGCAGCATCGCCTTCATGTTCAAACTCACCTTCATCTACATCTTCTGAACTATCAGCACAACCATCATCACCAACATATTCGACATCATCATCACCGCCATCACCATCAGCATGACCATCAGCAGCAGTAGCATCATTATCATCATCGTCTCCATCATCGTCGTCGGCGTCGTCATCGTATCCGTCGTTGTCATTGTTGTCGTCGCCCTCGTCGTCGTTTATCGTTCGTCGTTCGTCGTCGTCGTCGTCATCGTCACTACCACTTTCTCCGCTCCGCCTTGCCTGCACTGTCGCGCGCCTGGAACTGAAGAAATTGGAGCCCCCGGGGTCCTTTTGAGCAGCAGTGCGCTGCAGAGAGAAGATATGGGAGGAGGGCGGGGGGCCAGGGATAGGGGAGACGGGGGGGGGAGGATAGAGGAGGCTGGACTGAGTCAAGGGGACGGACGAGGGAGGGAGGTGGTCAGAGCCACCCCAGCGGCAGTCCTTGCGCCCGTGAGCGTACCTCCGGGCTGGCTGGAAGAAAAGGGAGTGGAGCGAGAGGAGGAGGGAGGAGATTCGACATCCGAGGACCGAACCTTGTGGAATTCGTCCCTGTCTCGGTCTCAAATGGACCATGGGAGCCTTGAAAATTTCCGGGGACGTCCCGGGATCCTGGACCCAGACCCCCACCCCCCAGTTTGAAGGGGGCTGGGAGGCCCAGCCGGCAGCTTCGCCTCAGGCGAAGCCAAGCTCCAGCTCTGTTGTACCGTAGTAACGATAGTCCCACTAGGAGAGGATGTGCCATCTTAAGCAGTCGATTATCCTTTTTGTCTCGATAGCGATCGTGAGCCTCGCGGTGAAGCACAGTCATATTTGGGCGGCCGGCCGCTTGAGCCGACGCGGCCGCGGGCGCACGCTCGTTTCCGTTCCTTACGTCCCTCAGCTCGCTTTAGAGTCGGGGGGGGAAGGAGACGAAGCGTGAACCCGTCGCCCCTATACAGCAGGCTCAGCAGCTAGTATGCACAAGGACAGAAAAAGGAGCGGGCCAGAAGGAAGGTAGGCCCGCTCGCAAGTTGCCTTGCTTTCAAAATTATGTACTTGAAGTGCTACTCAGGCGGCGTCAGAACTGGATGTCTGGCCGGCCCGATATGGAGTAGGACTCTTCAGGTCATGTTCGAAGGCCTGTATACCTCCCATGACTTGTAGGAGCATTTCTCTGTCGATGCTCCCCTTGGTGTGACCATCCGCAGTCACATCGCGTGTGTCGCACCACTGGATGCTGTGCACGATTCCACGCTCCACCATCTGTCGTATCCAACTGATGCGTCCTGAAAGAGTACACTCAGTCGGCATATTCAGGTATTTGCTTGACAAGGACCTAAAAACATATTCAGCATCTATGGTCAAAGTGACCTTGATACTCATGCCAACCAACTCAAGTATATATTTCAACTGAGTGGGCGTGAGCGGCCCTGCGTGGAGCTAGTGCAGAGTCACAATCGTGGGATAACAGTCCTCCAAATTATGGGCTGCTGCTAGTGTCTCCGCCGAATAGCTCGAGCGGATCTGCAAGCGGTGAGACTTGCAGTGCGCATCGATCAAGTGAACGACAGGTTTACCGGATGACTTGTCTCCACGTCGTAGCAGGTTTGCCCCGCGAAAACCATAGCCTTTGACGTCGTCGTCGGCGTCTCCACTCAGGCGTCGGTATCCTGAACCGCTATGCAGGTCGACCTCGCCCGTAGGAGTCATCGCCTGGTAGACGATCTCCTTCGGGTAGGCCTGTAGCTTCCTGGTGGTCGCGTTCAGTCGTCGCACTTGGATGTTGGTCGGCTGGACACGTTGTAGAGATACAACATGCACCATCAACCACGCCCGGGTGATTAATGCATACGCCAGCGCGCCCCTGAGGCCGACGAACATTTCTGCGACCATCTTGGACGCCTGAGCGTCAGCGTCGGCGCCAGTAAGTTCAGGATGTTGTATAGGACGGAGCTGTTTGATGCACTAATCCTGGCCCGAAGTGGCATTGCCGTCCTCATCCTTGGTGTATATCACAGCACAGTTGGTGCACGTGTGCTTGTTGAGTTTACACTTACAAAGGGTATCTTCTACGCACTTGACACACTTGTCAATGGTGTCCTCAGTCCTGGCCAGATTGATACCATCAACGTGTTTGGCCGTGAGCGGGTTGTTGCTCGTCTCGAACTCCTCGTCGCAGGACGCGGGTCGGAGACCAAAACCTCCGGTGGTCCTTCTGAGCTTCAGTAAGACAGCCCGCGGTGCGTCTTTGGTGCCCGTGCCTGGTTTCAAGCGCTGCAGGCAGTGCTTTGACTAATCGTAGCGTTCGAATCCTGGGAGAGCTCGGAGCACCGTGGCCGATCCAGGCGGCGGAGTACAACACGCCACGCGCTCCTTTTCACCAATGGCCTCAGCCAGTTCCTGATAGGCCAACTCCTTCAGGAAGGCCATGCTGATGTCGAGGGAAGCAATGACCCATTGCTTCTTGCACGCTGCCGCGCTGGCGAGTAGCCTCTGGCTTGACCGTCGCGCTGTTCCCGAACAGGTTTCTACGTCGAAGGCTTCAAGGTCCACGATGAACTTCGGCGCACCAGGCGTAGTCTGATGGCATGTTCCACATCGCCCTTCTCGTTCTTCACGAACTCCCATTTGCACACGCGTCTCGAAGTCATGGTGTTCGACGCTTTAGCTATACCTTGCATATTAAAACACTTGTTGTCGAAACATGTCTTGAATTCGGTGTAAGAGGGCCTTCGGTACTTTATCCGGATTCGCCTGGATGTCAGCTTTCGCGAGGAGGTCGTCTTCCTTGACGACCACAGCTCGCTTGGCAGCGGCGGTTACGCATACTCGCATAGTGGTCACACGGCCGGCATCTAGTATCACATGTTGGTGTTCGGACAGGACTACCTTTGACATTTCTGCCGTAAAGCAGAATTCGACAGATTGACCATGTTCGTCTGAGTCCAGTCCGTAGCTGTCGTCTTCGACCATGGTGCACATTGGGACGTCGTACGTCTCCTCGGTGTCGGAGTCGCGAGTGCACCCCCACTTCGGCAGGTGTCCCCACTGTTCATCAGCTACAGTGATTAGCACACTTTGACCTGGAACATTTGTGTAGGTATGGTAAAGAGCTCCTCTGGTGGAGTTGCCTCCAACAACTCCCTTTCCTCTTGTAGCTCTGCATGCCACACTTCCGTAACATGTGACTCGAGATCAGCCTCTGATTCTTCGTAGATCGTAAAAGCCGCCCATCATCATGTGGTAGTTCAGCTTATGAGGCTTCTCTTGTGGTTCCCTCCGGTGTCGGTGTATCCGCTAATTCCTGAAATCCTGTCATGTCCTGATCAAAACCTGATTGAGGTTTAGTAGACTTCAGGAATTGAATAATTCTCGAATGTGCTGATCCAGATATATCGTGTACATTCAGTGCAGCACCTTCTGCTTCATAACAATGAAATCCTGGATTCACGTCGTGGCCATAGTGGACCAATGCGCAGCTGTCAGCATAAGTAACCGGAGGTAGCTCATGAATACTCTTGGCTAACCTGACTGAAACTACATTCTCAATGCGGGATAAGCTTCTGATAAGGTACTGTAAAGCTAGATGTACCTTAGGAGATAGACGGCTTGCACTCGTCGTCTGAAGCGCCCCTTTCTTGGTCGGCACATAGCCAAAGGTCAGAGCACGTCTCCCCGCTGATAAACTGGCCACGAATGTCAACACCGCGCGCAAGGCCATGTTGTCGGAGCCAAATCTCTCGGGCGACCACTGCTTCAAATTATAATGAATGTCTTGCACCGCCGTTTTGTACTTGAACATCTCGATGACCCACTCGGGTGATGACTTGACCCCTTTTCGGGATCATTCTTTATTACCGGGAATGGGCCATTCCAGCCTCCCCAGTCATCCTTCGCGGTCACGGGGCGATGATAATCGAGCAAGTCTCCTTCATCGTAATAGTGCTGACCAGAAATAATCGTCTTACTGCGTAAGGCACGATTGGTCTTAAATGCTGCTGTGGCCTGTGTGATACCTTCAATACATACCCTGCGTATTGTCTGCTCACGAGAATGGTCGGACGTTTCCGTCGGCTGCACGTGGTCCAGGACAGACACATCAGGAAGCATTGCTGGTTGTCGTCCAAACAGAGCGTCACACGGAGACACTTCATTCGAGAAGGTGAACGCATTGGTGGCAACTAAAGCCTCGCGCAGTAGCCGCGTGCACACAAGAGGTATGTCCAACCTATTGAGTTCAGCTTCCATGACGCGAAGTAGATGGCGCAGGATGCCATTTCTGGCTTCGATCGTCGTAGCGTGCTGTCCCCGCGCACGTATGTCAAGTTCAGTGCCTTTTGCCTTGAGGACTGCTTTCAGAGTGTCGTTGTTAAGGGCACCCTCTCCGTCGGAGTAGAGTACCTTTGCAGGCCCAAACTGCCTCCAGCACTGGTGATATGCATCTAGGATACTTGTCATAGTCTTGTCTGGTATCTCAATCCCAGTAGCATACCGTATACAGCGATCGATGATATGGAAGATGCTGTGTTCTTGTTAGTGGAACATCAGATCACATTCCACGTCTTCATTAAATGTGCCAGGCAGTGCGGTGGAGGGCATAACAGCATGCCCAGGTTTGTCCCAAGCTCTGCACTCCCGACATGTGTCGCGGACACCTTTGATCAAGTTGAGTCTGACACTGTTCAGACCTATCGTGCTTAAGATGAGTCTCATCTTAGGCTCTCTCGCACGGACAAGCGCAAGTGTAACTTCCGCAGCTTGCGTGTTACCACGCTGGGGTCCAAGCTTCGTAAATTTTGTAGATTGGCTTGTGCGTCGAACCGTGGCCAGTCTGGTAGTCGTGGTCGCGCAGCAGGGTTACCCGCTGGTGGTGGAGGTGCTTCTCCACCTGGCTGTCGACCACGTCTGACTCTGACCTGCGGTAGTCGGAGATGGTCATCCGAACTACCAGCTCCGCTCGAGGCAGGTTGCCCTGCAGCAGGTTCAGCAGCATGTCTGCCTACAGTAATGTCGTGACTGCTCGCACCCGCTGTAAGTCCAGCTCTTGAGCCGGGTCTTGGTGCTCTTAGCCGCGTGAGTGGTGACGCGGCTGGCGCCTCAGGTGGTGGCGATGCTGGCTCAGCAGGAGCTGGTGGTGCAGGTCCTGCTGCCGGTTCGGCAGGGACCGGCGGTGCCTGCCCATGAGTGTCGGGCAGCTTTCAGGGCTCGGAAACCTTGCATTTGCCAGGTGTGAGTACGTATCCAGGCTCGTTATTACCGTAGTTCTTCTTACAGCTCAGACATTCCCAATGACAGTCGCCCTTATCGCACCACCTGGAATGTCTCGGATTTCTGCCATGTGAGAGAGAACGCACGTTAACATTATCCGCGCATGCGGGGCACCCGAGCCCTCCACAGGGTCGTTCCACAATCGAGCCATCGGGTTGCCGAGGGAGACTCGGATCGTCCAAGTCGCACCCCCTCAGGTTGGTGACCAGCACA